CTATTGTAACAAGTCACTGGAAAAATGGAACTTAGATACATTGATGTTTTTCTTCAATATCAAAAATAATATTAATTCGGTCTAAGTTTTAGAAGCTCACTTTACCTGCACCAACGGTTATTTAAATATCGTTGGAGAAACAGAAACCTTAGCGCCATGAGCTTAAATATATTTAAAAACAATCAAGTCATGATTTTCTAGTAAAAATTTCTCGAAAACATACAAAGAAATAGCGCTTTCTTGAGAAGATGTGGTCGACGTTAGCCCTTTTCAAGGACTTACGACTTAGGCCTAAGCAGAGCCAGGTGAGTAACATAGGATGAGCCTAAGCGTCCTTTTATTTATAGAAAAAGACAAAATAAATTCATGGTTGACTAAACATGTGCATTAAAAAGTATTGGCTTTTAATCTACGTGCTGGTATTTTCGAAATACTTATTAATCGAACATTATTCTCGACAATATAATAAAGGTAGCGATATCTAAACGGGCAGTACACGTTGATTATATACGTACAGGAAAGGTTACGTAAACTATTCTTACATTCAATATAAGGCATGGACTAATATTTCGATTTATAAATATTTAAGAATAATACTTCTTTTCGACGGTCAGCACATAAGTATTTTAAGTAAATCCAGGGTCCCTCCAATTTCTCTGCCTTCATGACATGGCAGATATGAAGGCATGATAACATGTATGTGTATGCAGGCTTTATTGTTGAGTTATAACACATCAGAATGGTTATTATGAACCTACCATGTAAGGAACCTACTATGTATTATTTTATGAACGTACAATGTACGGTTCATAAAAAGTATTTTATTAATTCCATGACTGTGATCGATTAATTAGCGAGAAACAAAAGATCCGTTAAGCACAAAATATTTAAACAAACATACGTATTTCTCATTGTAATTTTCATATTTAAAACGAAGTTATCTTCTTATTTCAGAATCCAGCCAACGATTAAACGCTCACAAGGTGGTTTTGGTTATTTGAAGCCAAAGCAAATCCGGTTGCGCTGTGACGGTATGGAACGGTTTAGGTTTTTCCATGTTAGGTACGGTAAATCTTAAGATCAGATCTAACTCCAATGTGTGGCGGTAAACCTTGATAAAGCATTTAACTTCATCATGTGGTCGGACAATGTAGAATATTTAAACATATCAATGTATTGCGTGTGTCGTATCATTGCGAATTCACTCAAGCTGAGAACATAGTATACAAAAAGGAATATATTATTGAATTGTTCTACTCGTCTGTGATTTAAATTTCTATAATTATTTGAATGAGAATTTTCACTTCAATTTACATGAGTACGCTCTAGCATGGTTGTTATATTTGAACGAGGATGCAGCTGTGGCGAAAAACAATGTATTCATATTTTGATACTCATAATTTTACATTCCAAGGCTTAGTTAGTTCGCGTAAAAGAAAATTCTTCAAAATGCTTACGCCTATGTGTAACATATCTCCCTAGTATTTATTGTAGTCTTGCCATTACAGCCAGAGCCGCACGCTGGTCAGCTGCAAAGACGTCAGCGACGCTAAAGATTGAAAGCTGCCGGCGCTCTACGTCATCAACGCGGGACGATGCGACGTCCAGACAACCTTGACCGATAGACAAGAATTGTAATACAGACATGATGGTCCAAAGACAGGAATAATAATCCAGACATGTTGGAGAGGTAGAAGACAAGACAGACAACAGACAAGAATAGTAAAAGAGACAAATGTGCTCAGAGAATGAACAGTAATACAGATATGTGAGCCCAGAGAGTGGACAGTAAAACAGACATGTTGTAGACAGTAATGGTGACAACTGAGCCCAGAGGTAGAAAATTTAATAGACAAGTTGGGAGAGACAGTGGACAGCAATACATCCATGTCTGCCATGATAAGAGCAGCAAAACATACAAGTCGGGTCAGATAATGTAATTGACAGTGAAACAGACGAGTCTGCCCAAATCAGATTGAATTGAAATTGTAACCAATGGTTTTTGAAGTATGGGATCAAAGCCAGTAAAAAAACATGTCTCTAAACGATATTCTACTATAGTTTCTAGCTACTACGTAACTCTATGTATAATTTAGTCTTCTTCTGTTTCCACTTGTGAATTGTAAAATTGTTTTACAATCTATTATATTTATGTGAAGAGAATAACGTATGTTTTGTCAATCCGTTACTTTTTTCTGAAGGAAAATGTTTTCCGCGTCGAATACAGAAAGGAATTACTGTAGCTTTAGCTCAGTCGCAGTTGATATCGAAGCCAGTGTGTGTACGCTATAAAATTAAACGTTAATTAAAATTGAACTATTACCGAGAAAGATCATACTGATTGGCAGAAATACTCTAAACGATAATGGTTTTTGGTTGTTCTTCGATGAGTTGCAGAGTGCCTACGATTGAGAATGAAGCGTTTCATCGCGTATATGGTAAGATTCAATTCCTGTTGATTGTCCTTTTGGCCGAAAAATAAGCATGATGATTAGTTATGAGCGATCACGTTTTGCAAAACTTGAACAGAAGCAAGAGCTTCTGAAATATGAAACAGAAGTGCAGCTTATTGTTTAGTAAGAAAATCAGCATAAAAACCTAAATACGAAGGCGTATTCTAATTCGGTTCGCAACTCTTAGTCTGCATCAGCGAACATAATTTACTAAAACGTAAACGACGTCGAAATAACTCAATAACTTCTTTCGTGGAATAAACTTGGTCGTGATGCCCACAAAAACAAGCCTGCCCTCTCAAACGTTAATCAACAAGTAAACATATGGCGAAGATACAGGGTGCGGCGCGGGAACTTACTTATTTGAATTNCAAAAAAGCCTGTCTCTTATACACATCTAGATGTGTATAAGAGACAGGCCGAGGGGTTCACGGCTGATTGGTGAATGTCCGGAGATATCAAAGGCGTTCGATTCAGGGCTTATTGGTGCACAAAATTGGTGGCTCCCGGCTGCGCTCCCGTCTCGTCGACGAAAACGTGAAGTCACGGACGGACAGACAGACAGACGGACGGACATGGCGAACACAATAGTGCATTTTTCCATAAATGAAAAAATGCGCCAAAAACGGTTTAATAAGATTTTATTATCAATACAATTTCTCGGTCAATAATGTGCATTCTCAACATAACTTGGATTTCGGACCAGTAAAACCGAGATTTTATCAATGTTGAATTTTTGTGGAATTTACCGTTTTATTCTAAGTTTTCACTGCTAGACGGGGAATTAGGTACCGTACTGCAGCGATGAATACATAACTATTGTTATATGTTGCTTCATTTTAGTTACAGGTGCTCACTCACAGCGAATTTGCGATCATTTCCGCAGAATTTAATGGTATCTATCCAGAGCCCAGAATATGAGGAAAGTGCCATCGAGTGAATGAAAGACCACCATATTAAATCAGCCCCCATTTATTAAGAAACTGCCAATAATAAAGCTACACAGCGTTTCGTTTTACACATAGAACGATCCGAAATTGTGAAGTTCTAGCATGTTGAAGAGATTTTACGTAAGAAAAAATTTCCTTTTCGGTGAAAAATGAAAAGACACGATTAAAATGCATACCAGTTTAACTCTTACTTCAAAAACTCAGAACACTTGCAGAAAAACTCGCTTAACAGTAAAACACTTAGGAAGTAACACCTCTACATATGAACTGATACTGATTTTTCATCGCGAACAAGAGAGCGAGATCTTGAGATCTCAAGTTGACATGTCTAGACAAATAACCACAACATTATAAAAAAAAGATGTCATCACAGCAGACTAGGCTGATGAAGCAAGCTTCCAGTTTCGGCCCACCTATGCATAATATCAAGAACAATAATTGAATCTTCAGTGAACCGTTTAATTTAGCAATGTTCTGCAGCCTAGACACGATCTGACGAGTGAATTGATAACTTATCATAGGGACAAACAAGCGAAAATAACTTATTGTACAGTCCTGAGAGCTTGAAATTAAAGTCTCCAAGAGAAATGAAAATTGCGAGTTACGCAATTTAACCGCTTGAAAAATCATTAATTAAAGTTACAAAGTAACAAGCCACTTATAAGGTGAAATATTAGCACACAATTAATAAGTATTTGCACGCTCAATCACTAGCACGGCGATACAATTAATATATCAAATCATCCACAAAATTACACACATGTTTGCAAATGTTCAGGCAATCAATCAGTAACGCAACTAAAATATTGCCTTAGGATGTGGCGACAATTGCGTAGCGCGTTCAGATTGCGTGCGTGAAGGGCATTTGAGCAGGAATGATGAGCAGAGGCTTGCTTCACAGGAGTGAAAAAACAAAATTCAAGACAATCTTTAGAATGGCTTTTAAAACTACAATAAAATAGCTAGTGGTCATTAATGGACTGGCAAAAACTTATTAAAACGCTGAAACATGAAATTTTATTTAAAGAATCTGAGTTTTAGAAACAAGTTTCTCTGCAAACTCGATGCTAGAAATGGGGAAGAAGAAATAGTTGAATCAATTGTTTCTTTGTGGCACAGATCGGTTACTGTTAATCTGTTATTCCTGCCCAAAACGCGATGATTTGTCTTTCTTTAGTTTTGGTTTGAAAGCAGCTGCAACAAACTATAGAAATGAGAATTTGTAACATGGCATCAATTCTTCAATAAAACAGAAGATTAATAATCAACATTCACTAACGGCAAAAATTGTTAATGGCGTCAGTTGCTTTCCTTTCAAAATATTGAAATAACTCAAGATTCATCTTCCACCAAGAAAAAAACATTTGAAAAGGTGACAATTTAGTACAAAAATTATATTAATAAGAACTGAAGAACCAGTTATAGGTCAACTCCAACGAGACCATGCATTGAAAACCTGACTCGTTACAGAAAGGCACCAAATGTTCAATAATATTAGGTCACAAAGCTAAATCGTCACAGCCATAACACTTAAATTCCTAGCTGAAAAATCCTTATAGCCATCAGCACCACCATCAAAATAAGATCAGCTTTCAGCACTTTAACTAATCATGTAGCGTAGCTTAAAATTCAACACAAACCTTCATACTGAGAATATGACCATGACCATACACCAGATTATATTAAATATCACTTATTTGAATGATGCCCAAGTTGAATATTTCTTACCTCATTGCACCTTGAAAACCTTCAACAAATATATTGCCAGACACAGTTACTCATCAACACCCATTTGTTCTATAAATCACATTGCAGCTTGAAAATTATTCTTACCTTAATTGCTTTGCTATGTATTTTATATCATCAAGTTAAGTCAAGTGTGTATTAAGTAAACCTTACTGAATAAATACATATACAAAAATTAACTAATTCAGTCATAGACCAAGTCCGTCAATCTGAACATAGAGAGCAATAATATGAGTGTTAATATTGTTCAGGTGCACATCCGAGGTCCAGATGTTAACAATGTTGTTGAGTTGTCTAATGCAATCTTCACTGTCATCCTCATGGAAGCAGGCATTCATGAGCTTTGTGCACGCAGCTCTCTTGTAGTCGTAGTCGTTGCAGTACCTCTTGTAGCAATCGACCAGAGTGCAAACTGGAAAGAAGGTATTCATGTAAGAAGGTATTCATGTACTCATGTAAGGTATTCTTGGAATTCACGGTACGAATAAAAAACCTTTTGCAATGATTTAAAAATGTATTGTCAAAAATTCAGGGAGAGACAGAAAGTCACTGGATTAATTAGTATTGAAAACATGCACTGGAATTATATCAGGTCAAACTTGGAAGCTCTATTTATCTATATATATATATAGTATAGCAATGCTTCACATGCTTTGATTGTACTGCACTATTACCACAATACAAAATAATAATCACCAAAACATTCAGCAAGGTATCAAGTCAGATTGCACTAGATTACAAGGTATTTTATGTTCAAAATTATGATCAAACTTAATTACAGAGTAATGAACAATTCATTAATCTTGATTATCTTGGTACTGAGGAGAAGTGCTCAAAATATGATTGTGCTGGCTCACCTATGGTTGAGAAAGGCTGCACATCAAAAGGCTTGAAGGTTACAGCCACTTCCCTGCTGACTCCAAGATTTTTAATGGACTGCAAGCTGTCTTTCATTGAGTCACATATTTGTACCTAAAAAACAGGTAAAAGCATTAGAATTTAAATGAAAGCAATATTTAATTTCAACAATCCATGCATACATCAAAGCTCTTTAACTGTCATTTATTCAAATCCTGAAGCAAGTTCTTAGTTTTAGACTCAGGAGAGGGTTCTTAAGAAAGTACACAAGTGTAAGCAGTACGGTAAAAGGAAATTTAAATATCTCTTATAAAGTATCTTCATTCGAAAGTCTGTATTATCAAGAATGACAATGGAAAATAAAATTAATAGCTATGTATACAAAACCCAGGGCTTTGAATAATGACAAATTCAAAGCTCCTTGGCAAGTAATCAGCAAACTGTAACATAATATTGTGTTTCATTTGTTCCTAAAAATTGGTAATAGATTGTATTTCTTAATTCATTTATTTTATGGTGAAGCAAAAATGTATTTATCTTGCACACACAGTGAAGCAAAAAATGTAGGTATTATTTTGCACATACAGTGAAGCAAAAAATGAAGGTATTATTTTGTACATACAGTGAAGCAAAAATTTATTTTGCACATATGGTAAAGAAAAAATAATTCATTTTGCACATATAGTAAAGCAGAAATACTTTATTTGGCATATATGGTGAAGCAAAAATACAAATTAATGGCAAAAAACTAGATGTTGAGCAGTGAGCACTAACCATTGAGTTGATCACATCAGAAAAGTCTGTGAGGTAAATCATAGCTCTGTAGTCAAGCTCCTTGGCAATTCTCCCTTCATTGTCAATCTTGAGACCAACAAAATTTTGCAAGCTGATTCTTCCTTCTCTCTTGTTCTTGGTCCAACTTTTACTCAAAGAGAAAAATAGCTGTACACTTTTCACAAGAACCCCTGAAATATTGTTAAGCATCAGAAACATGATAATGTGTTTACAGAAAACTTTAGAGAGACAATGTCACTTCAAGTTTGAAAGGAATGAAGACAAATTTTGTACAACACCTTAGCTTGTAAATAAAGTCCTGTTGTCTATTTTGCATATTGCATCAGTTACAATGATACACACAAACCTGTTATTTGTTGTGACTTAGATTTGGTGAGAAGACAACTATTTTCAACATTGAATTTTACTTTTCTTCTAGTACTTGAGGGTTGACTTTCTTTAGGAGTTGAGCAAGCCCGAGCAGGAGTTCCTCCACCAGGCCTCTCTCCGCCAACTAGCAAGCGGTCACCATTTTTCCCTGCTGCCAATGTCAAGCCTTCTTCATGTCCTGAAGAAACATCTTTAGATGCTTGGAGAGCTCTCAGCTCCTTGCGTGACAAGATTTTCTTTCTACCCGTGGTCACAAGTCCATTGTATCTGTCTGCCTTTAAAGGGAGACTATTGGCTGACAGCTCAGATGACACAATCAAGTTGTCCATTTGCAATTGTTGAGAAATAGCAGAAGTAGCTACATTTTTGCTGCCCTTTTTTTTTCTTCTATCAGACTTAGGTGTAGTTGATTTGGGATTGTTTGAGAGTAATACCTCATCACCTGCAGGTGCTAGTGATGTGTCATTTCCAGAAATTTTAGTTTTGGAAGTTGGAAGCATTTTTGTTATTTTTTTTGTTCAAAGATAATAATAAATTTTGTAGCTAAGTTTCAAAGCAAAAAAAAAAAGTTTTTTGATGGTTATTCAAAGTTGACTCAAATTTGTGTTTGAGCTCTGAAACAAAAATCATTGACATGTTAACCATACAGAATAAATTTGGCACTAGAGTAAAGCTAGTAGATACAGTTTATTCAACACAACAAAGAAATGAGCAAGCAACCTCATTCATCAGCATGTGTTTTAAATTCATACTCAAAGATGATTTATATTTGGTGCACAAATAGGAACTGGTAGTGAATGGGCATAAGCCACAAATTAATGAGAGAAAAATGACCATGCTTACAAACAATTTCACCTATTCCTATGGCTATGGGTATGGCCATAGTGGCAAAGCAAACTTTTTAGACTCTTCCCCAAGTGCATTTTTGAGTCCTATCATCCTATGAGTAGACCAGCAAAGTATCATGGATACCACATGGCACATAACAGCATTATCATAAATAAGATATTAGTTTAAATCTTAAGTAGATAAGAAAATTAAATATGAACCAATTCTAAAAAATCTCTGGTTTGCCATGGCCATGCCAGTGATGTCACCATGTAATGCTGCAACTTAATTGTTCCCTGACTTCAAGTTTACGATTGCTCTTCGTTTTAAAGTCCTTGCGTACCAGGCTATCATGCACAGAAAGATGGGTCAGGTGCTTAGGAATTTATGTTCTTAATCAATCTCTGCAGTGCAAGAAAATATGTTGAAAAAAATAATATGCCAAGGTAAAGTTCTACCTACAAATGGAATTGAATTGACATCAAAGTTTAATTCAAGAGAATAGTGAATAGCAAGCCAAAGTGAGTGCCAAAGCATTAACCAAACAAAATTAAAATTATATACAATAAGCATGTCATAACAAAGATCCAAGACCCAAGTGAATTCTAGGAATGGCGGAGGATGGTAATTCAAATATTCAAGGTTGGTCAATTTTACCATGAAGCAGAAAATGGTGAATATCCAAATATTTTTGGCAACACACCACATCAGTATCAACCATGTTGCAACTTTGGAAATAAGTTTCCTAAAATTTTGGGTATGAGTGATCTTTTGATTTTTTTCACACCGATTTTTAGAAATTATTAACAAATTCAGGCTGTTTTTATAATTTTTTACTAAATAAATTTGAAAAAGGCCACAGGAACACATGAAATTAGCTCAATTTACAGCTTTTATGTCCAATCCACAGGTGGCTTTTGCCCCATGGCCCATATTAATACATTTCTCTTTAACTTCACTTCTTGTTGTTTGTTTGTCTGCTACAAATCTTGTAATCAAAATTTAATACACTTCTACTTATCCTATCGATTAATTTTGTCAGCTACAAATCTTATAACTGATATTTGACACACTGTTACCTGTCTAATTGATCTGAAATTTTGCACACTTGTGTGAAGTCAGAGGCAATGCATGAATCAATTAACAGAATAAATAATTTAAAAAAAGTTATATATTAAAAAAATTGAAAAATTTATTTTTTTAATATTCGAAAATTAAATGAGAGATTCATTGTACATCTGTAAGATTGGAGACACTGGATTCTTTGGAAGTGTTCTCTTTAAGAAGTAATTTTTAAACATATATTATTTCAGTTACACTATAAGAAGCATCAAAATTTAAGCCATTAAAATCATGCTGGCATATTTTTCTCTAAATGCCCATCTACATGTATTTTTAGCAACTTAGCAAAACATTTCAATTCTCAAATTATTAAGTACTAGCTGTAGTTCTGGCAAGTGGCAACAAATTCTTAATACTGGCAACACATTGATATTGAATATTGATTTAGCCTAGAAACCTTAGCTTGGCAACACAATTTCTAAATTCAGCAGCATAGTGAACTGGCCTGGGTCTTGGAAAGTGGAAACTAGATTAGTTCCAAAGTTCAAAATATGAGCCAAAAATAGTAGAATATACTTGTTCTGTTGTTCATACAACATACATTATCCCTTCTGGCACTGGCAGAATGGAATTCTAAAAATGATGGTTCATATATTATTTCTGATCTACAAGACCAGTTTTTGATCCAACAATGTTATTTGAGGGCTCAGGGCTCAATTTCAACCATTTCAACATTGCGCAGGGTGAATTCAATATCAGTAAGAGTAAGACAGTGACGAGTGACATAGTAGCTGAGCTAATAATTTCACACCTGTGTTTCTAGGGCAAATGCGGTATATTCAATACACATTAAGGATGTAGCAAGAAATGAACGGCTATAAAAATATCACCGTATGCGTAACTCGAGTTCTGCTTGCTTCACGTCACTCTCAAAACACCACACTACGCGCCAGCAACAATGAAACGTCACAAACTGTTGCCATATTTATTTAAAAGCCTTTAGAATTCAAACCTACAAAATCTCTGAATACCAACGCTGTGTGTGACTAAATTTGGCATATTGTGAGACTAATTCTGGCAGCGCTTCAAACTCTATTAATTTGTAATTCTGGCGCCCTGTGTTGGAATTTCGACGCCCTGTGTGAGCTGTATCGTAATACAACACAGCTCGGAACAAGCTTAATTAAAAAGTTTTGATTTTAAAATTAAGCTTTTAACTAAGAGCTATTAAGCTTTTAATTAAGAAAAATTTAATATTTGGACACAGCTCGGAACGAGCTGTGTGTGTCTAATTCCAAGCTGTGTTGGAATTAGTTTTTATGTGCCTAAAACCATCGCTCAACTTAATCATCTATTCATTTATTTACCACTTGAAATGAGCAAATACAAGTATACTTAAAGGATTCCTAATATATTTACAGACTTATTTAAAAGTCTCAAACTGTAATATTCTTTCTACACAAACAGTTAATCACTATTTGGTAGAGACGTAGAGCAAGGTCAACTATCAACTTTGACACGTTTTTCAATGTTCTCACTGGGTGACATGCACTGTTTCTCTTTGGATCTTAACATTTTCCTGCCAGATAGCCCAGACCTAGTGTTTTGGCAAATGGCAATAGTATGGTGCACAATAGTATGACGTCACTATTTCAACAATCAAGGAATGCATGGAACTAAGACAAAGCTTAATATAAAGGAAAAAGTTAAGAAGTGTCAGAATTAACCACAATTTTGGAATATAGGGTAAACGCTGAAGGGGGCCGCAGAACATTAGCTATAGTATGTAGTAGAATCATTCATTTACAATTGTACCTTAATGTATCTCATGTTTTATTTCATTACCTTTTGAGTGTCATGTGCATCTTAATACCGCGTTTACCCTAGACTCTAGGCTCTAGGTATGAAATGACTAAAGTATAATTAAATGTTTGCAGTAATGCAGATGCAGGTCAGGGCAAGAATTGTACGCATTCCTAAGTGTAAGTACTTCCTCTTGCATGCATGCTGCAGTGCTGCACGTATACCTAATATCCAGCGTACCTAATTTGCTAACAACTTGTCATTTCACGTCTTCACGATATGTCACTAGTAAGTTCTACTGTTCTGGTCACTTCTAGATTTCACTCTTTGCCATTGACAACTAATCTGTAAACTAAATACTAAACTATTGAATACAGCTTTGATTTTTGGTTGAGCAACTTGAGGCTTGAGCTTCAACTCAAGTTGATTTTATTAGAAGAAGAAACTGGTCTTCATTACAACACTTCTCTTTAACTTCACTTCTTGTTTGACTGTCTGTCTGTCTGTCTGCTACAAATCTTGTAATCAAAATTTAATACACTTCTACTTATCCTATCAATCTGAAATTTTGCTCACTTGTGTAAAGTTAGAGACAATGCATGAATAAAATGTCAAAATAAAT